TTTCCGATACTCCATTTTGTTGAAGAGTGTAACGGATTGTAAGCTGCCTTTCTATAACTTCTTCACAAAATTTATCAAATTCTTTTGAAGTGTACTCCTTACCACAATCACTTCTTAATTTTTTAAGGTAACACTTGCTTTATTTCTCAACAAGACATTTAAATTTCTTGAAAATAGTAAATATATCAGGTTTTTCTCTCATAAAATAAACCCAAGTCATGCGAGTATAATCATCAATAAAAAGAATGAAATACCTGTTTTGGGAATGAGAGGGTGTCCTCATGGGTTCATACACATCGGTATGAACTAATTCCAGCACTTTGTTGGCTCTCCATGCAACTCCTTTTGGAATGGTTATCAGTGATGCTTTCCAAATGCACAACCTTCACAAACTTCATGTTTTTCTTCAATGTTTGGAAGCTCTTGAACCATTTCCTTTTGTGATAAAAATTTAAATTTAGGTGTCCAAATCTTCTAGGCCATAGCCAAGATTCATCAATCTCCTTGGCATTCATAGCAATGTTTCTTACATAATTAAACATTAGTTGAAAGCTTATATTTGTCTTCATTTTCACATTTTTCACCACATGTTTCTCATGGTCATAAATGGTACAACTAAGATCTACAAAATGGAGTGAGTAACCATACTCCAAAAGTTATCCAACACTGAGAAGATTCTCATTCAACTCAGGTACAAATAACACATCATATATAAATTTCCTTCCCTTCTTTGTTTCAACACCAATTGTGCCTTTGTCTTTTACTTCAACAACTTCTCCATTTCCCAATTTCACTTTTGAGCTAAATGATGTGTCCATATCAAGAAAAATATTTGGGTGCAAGAAAAATATTTGGGTGCCCTGTCATATGATTGCTACACCCGTTGTCCAAGAACCACACTTCATTGTTTTCCTCTGTGGCACTTTGACAAGCATAAAACAAATTTCCTTCATCTTCTTTTTCTTCTGTAAAATTTGCTTGTTGGTTGTTTTTCAATCTATAATCCTTTTATAGATGCCCAAATTTCTTACAAAAATGACATTGCGGCTTTCCTTTAAACCAACAATCCTTATCAGCACGGCTACTTCTTTTGCAACTAGAACACTGCTATGATGACCCTTTATCACTAGATTTTCTATCAAAATTACTTTTGCTTCTTCCTCTTTGGTTTCTACCTCTTCCTCTTCCTCTTGCATATCTACCTCCTCTATAGGAGTTTCCTGTTCCATGCTTATGAGTCGAGGATGTTCCATCATGGCTTTTGGAACTAATATTGAGCTTGGATTGGAATGCACTCTCTATTGATTTTTTGGAGTGGCATGCCAATCTTTGTTGATATGATTTTAGTGATGCCAACAACTCTTGAACACTTAATTTAGTGAGATCCTTTTTTTCTTCAATAACAACCACAATAGGATCAGGTAAACTAATTAAAATCTTCTCAACAATCCTCCTATCATCAAATTTTTCACCATTTGCTTTCATCTGATTTATCAACTCCATAAATCTATTGAAATAATCATTTAAACTTTTATTTTCCTTCACTTTTATATTTTTGAAATCTCTTTTAAGAGATTGGAGTTTAACAACCCTTACCTTTTTGTCTCCTTGAAACTCTTGCTGAATTGTTTCATATGCTTCTTTTGCCTTTTCGCACTCATTATCCTTGGAAAAATAGATTTACCAATTCCTCTTTTTATCATTGAAAGTGTTCCTGCATTCTTACTTCTCTTGTCCTTCAGTTCCTTTTGTTGAGCTGCTGTAAGATTTGCTACATTTTCTGGTTCTTCATATCCAATGACAACAATGTCCCATAAATCCAAAGACAAGAATAGGGTTTTCATTTTAACGTACCAGAAATCATAGTCTTCACCATCAAAAATAGGAACTTGAACTGTGCTGAAATTAATAGCATTAGTGTTGGCCATGGTTTGTTCTTCACAATCAATTTTTCTTTAACTTTTCTTGCACCCAAACTTGTTCCAATGAACATTGCAGCTCTGATACCACTTGTTGAGATTTGGTTGTAGTTTCAGCTAATTATGGGTGCATGCAAAGTGGAGAAAACAGAGAACTTACATGCAACAGGTTGAAATAAAATACAGAGCAAGAACAGAGCAAGAGAAGGGCTGAAATCACTTCATATGTATTCTAGTTTCTCTCTTGGTTAGAGTCATACAAGAATGGCTTCTTTTGCAAATCAAAAAAGAAGCTTCTTCAAGTACACTTTTCAACTAACCCAGATTTTACAAAAAGTAGAAAATGAACCAATTAAAGTTACATTTTACCTAATACATGAAAAGACAAAATAAATATAAAATATTTTAACTTCCTAGCACATTAGCTGTAACAAAAAATAATAAAAAGAAACATGGATAGCTGGTTGATCTTGTGATCTGATAGCACACCACCAGCAAATAGAAGACATCGGTTAAAACCTCTTCACATGTTCATGGTAGTGAGAGAAGAAGTCTCGGGAACAAGTAAACCAATGGCAATACAGAAAAGAGAAAAAATCAAATCACTAACCTCAAGTATAAACCACATTTTTTGTGGAAAGCAGAAAGGCTCCGCTCTGATCTCTCAATGGCTATACTGATAACTCCAACGAAGGCCTGAAATTTCACTGCAGACAAATTACCATGTTAAATCGAGTGATTCTAAAGTTTCTCTTGAATTGGTAAAATCATGTAGTTCTGGCAGAATGGTTATTTATAGCACCTGTGGTATTCGTATTTTAATAGGAGTCTAGTGACCCATAGGACTTCTCTCTGAGAACGAAGTCTAGCTTTGTATGGGACTCTGATTAAGAGATCAGCTCTATAGCCAACAGGAGTGGCGCATTAATCATGTTTAATCCCTAAACAAAATATTCATGTATGCATTGCCAACAGAGCCTGCATGTTAGTGGAACAAGATGTCCTCACTACAACTCTTACTGCTATGATCCTAGGACAGTAAAGCTCAACGAGGCAGAATGCAATCATTTAATTTCAAAGTTATCATTTCCTAGATCATTTTCGTAGAACCTAAAGGACAAGCATCCATTTCATGAAGGCCCACAACTGAACAAGATCACAAGCATTCAAGTCAAGTTACCATCCAATATGGAAATCAACATCATCGAGGACATCGACATCGTATGGAGCTCCATCACCTCGTCCTTGAGGGGGCATTTGTAGACATGTGTATATTCAAAGCCAAACGCATGGGCTTAATTTACATGGTAGCCTCTAAATTAATATGAGCCTCCATGGGCCCAAGGCTCTAGTCTACATAAATATGACTTAGTGGCCCAAGGATCCAAGTGTACCAAGTCCAATATGGTCCATCTTCTATTGTAATAGGGTGGTCCCATTGGCAAGACCACTAACTCCTGCATAATGATGCATTCATGGGAATTAACCCTAACCCAACACCCCACTCACATGGGACTGGTTAGCTAAGTGGGCTAAGGTGGCAGCCTTAATCCTTGGCTATAAATAGCCTTGCTTAGGAAGAAAGAGCTTTCCTTTAAAGAATCACATTGCAAGAAACTCTCACACACCAACACTTAGGATTGCAAATAACCACAAGCTCATGCAAACTCCAACAACTGTAAGATTAAGAAAGAAGAAAAAAGGGAAAAGTTTCTTCATTCTCAACAACACACTTGGATTCAAGCTCTCCCAAGAAAATCAAGCCAACGCAAAAGGGCCCTTCTTAGAGAAGCATCATTTACAGTCGATCAAGCGCGAAGCCCAGAGTGAAGAAATCTACATCAAATCTCCCAAAGCACCAAAATCAAGGAAATCTACATCAACACTTCAAGAAATATGAGAAACACACCGACGACCCTCGTCTTCACCAAATTCGATTGTTAATCAAATGTTGCTCACGTCATCGAGCAGAAATCATAGAGAGTTCATTCCTTTGTTTATTTTTCTTTATTACAAATTTATTTTTATAATTTGTCTCCATATTTTGTGCTAATTGAAATATACGAAATTTGTGTCAACAGGGGTTTTGAGGAGTCTTTGTAATTTACCCTATAAATAAATTATAAAACTTTAGGGATTTTTGGACTGCAATCCCCTTCAATTTTTTTTTGTAGCCCCCCCTATAAACCACATCCTATCTGTGAATTTGGCATCAATCCACAGGCAGGATTTAGTCTACCCCCTAGGAAATCCTAGCTCCACCTAGAGGTGGACTGAATCATAAAAACCCTTAAACTTTAAGCCTATAAGGTTAGAAATCAAAAAATTGCAAAAATACTTGTTACATATGCAAGGTATCATGACTTAACGGAGCGGGTCAACAAAATCCCAAATCCAACTCAGGTCAAATAACCAAAATCCTAACCCGACCCTAAACCAAATATGCTCGATCCTAACCAACCCTATAAAGTCGGGTCTAACCAGATTTATCATTTATTGACATCCCTATCCATACATGTTCCCAATACAAGGTCAGGATGTGGTTGGGGATTTATGGGGCGCCCCTCATGGAATGTAAATACAAGTTCGGATTACCTATCCACGCCTCACTACAACAATTGTAGGATAAGTAACCATTGAGAGATGTTCCCAATCGTAACGCTGACGTATTGATTTATGATTGGTTACTTATCCTGATTCTCTGTGTTCGCAATCGCAGCGTATGCCTGTTTTTTAGACAATTACTTTTTGAGGTCAGATATTTTGGCGCCACGGGTTAAGTTACTTTTTGTCTTTATTAGAAAAAGCCTTTCCTTTCGTAACGGTTTCTTGATTCTCTCTTTACTGTTTTCAACCTCAAAACAAAGTAAGCGATCTCATCTGTCCAGCTGGCGATAGTACGACCATTATTCCTTAAAAAGTTGAGCAGTATGAATCCTAGAATCGGATGTCTACCATTGGAGTGACGCGAAGTGGGGCCTGACCTGAGTAGGTTGATCCAATGGTGGGCCATGGTCCACTTGACATAACATAAAATAAAAATTTATTTTTAATTTCTAATCCTGTAGTGGTTATGGTTTATGGAGAATTGTAGATGGAGGGAATGAATGAAGAAAAGACACTAACGAACCCCTGAAATAATAACGGGCGCAGTGAGTGATTGATTGCTTTCTTTCATTTTGCATTTTCATTTCCTTTTTCTTTTGCACTCATTTCTATTTGCTCTCTCGCTCTCTCTCTCGATCTCAAAGCTTCCTTTTTTCGTCTCCTATTTCTCCTTATTGTTCTCTTCTTACTCTCTGCAACTCCTTTCTCCCACGTCGATTTCGTTTCCGTGAGGAATGCGCATTGATCATTAAGGAAGTTATTGTCTGTTCTGTCTTTGGGAATTCGATTTATCTTTTCTCTTTTTGCCCCGGTCGAGAATTCTTGTAAAAGTCGGAGAGGATGGGTTTGATTTCTGGAATTCTTATGGGGATGATCGTTGGGATCGCATTGATGGCGGGTTGGTACCATATGATGAGGTACCGAAGCACCAATCGTGTCACTAAGGTACAACAAGAATTTCTCTTTTTGGTGTTTCATTTTTTTTTGGGGGTTCTGGAATTATTTCTTGGATTCTATATTGCTTTCCATTTCTTTACTGAATTTAGGCTTACAAATTTTAATTTCTATTGTTTGCACAATTACCGAATATTTCATTTTATAAGCCTGGGAGATGTACCACAGCGTAGAGAATTGAATGATTTTGGCTTTTGTGCTCTTTAACTATTGAGTTGATTTTGCAAAGATTGATTCACTTAGATTTAGAGCAAACAACCTGTGATTGACGAGCATTCTGTTGTAGCCTGTTCATATATATCTGCTGAACTTTCCGTATGGAGTTATGTTATGGGAGTCGAGATGCTCTACCCTTGATGCTATTTCACAAGAGGTTGTTTATAATTTTTCAGCTGCCACGCCCTGATATTCTTCAGTTCCTGCGTCAAATTTAGGATTCTATGTTTCTATCATCATTTCCCTAACATCAATATACCCTGAAACATCATAAGTACTCTTTTTCTAATGTTTACTGAAGTTCTTAAACTTGGTATTCCTGCCTTTCTCCTCTTCTCTTGCCTATTTGTGGTAGACATTCCAGTCGATAACTCCTGTATAACTGAATAACTTGTGGGTTAGTGCTCTATCAAGGTATGAGAGCCATATGCTTGGTTTTAATTCTTCCAATCTATTGAGCCAAGAAGAGCTTGAGCAGTGTTTATTCATGTCATCAACTTTTTTTTGTGGGAAGACTTACCTCTGAATAGCCTGAATCTCTGTAATACATTTCTTCTCTAATCTCTTTCCTACACCTACTGGGATCTTGAACACTGACAAGTAATAAACCGGTAGGTTAGATAGTGTAGATCTGCTCAATGTTATCTTTGCACCTAAGGATAGATACCCTTTCTTCCAAGAGGCAAGCCTCTTTGAAAATCTTTATATCACTGGGTTCTAGAAACGAACTTCTTTTGGATTAGCTCCAAGAGGTAGACCTAGGTAAGTCAAAGGCCATTGGGCAATGCTACAACTACAACCTAATATGTTTGCACACTCTATCATCTCCCCATCCACTATGTTAATCCCAGCAATGCAACTCTTCTCAAAGTTTATTTTTAAATTTGGCATTCTTGTAAGAAGTTGCACTGACAATTTTAGATTTTTTTACCCATTCCAACTCATCTCCTTCACAAAATAAAATGGTATCATATGCAAATTGTAGATGGGTGATTGGTACTCTATCTTTCCCCACTCTCCACCCTTGTGGTAAATACCTCAAGTCTGGCCTTGAAATGATCCTACTAAGAGAATCTACAATAAGAGTGAACAAACAAGGAGAGGGGATCTCCTTGCCTAATCCCACACCTAGCAGGAAAAAAAATCCACCACTCTATCATTTACCATCACTAAATAATGGCAAGTTCTTAAGCAACCCCATATCCATTTAAACTATCTCTCACCAAAACCACAATGCCTCACAATCTCAACCAGAAATTTCCAACAACCAAGTCATAGGCTTTCTCTAGGTCCAATTTACAGATTAATCCTTTTTTCCTTGTTCTCTTCATTTCCTCAACACATTCATTAGCAATCAAGATTTGATTCGTAATTTCACTATTTTGCACAAAGGCCCTTTGATTAGGGGATATAATGGAAGGGAGGACTTTTCTAATCCTTTAAGAAAGGGCCTTAGCTATTAATTTATAGAGATTGTTCACTAGGATAATGAAGGGATAGGAGATCCATCATATGGATGGCCGAACCCTGCAGGAAGGTTGGGCGAAATTTTAAAAAATTTTTTACTCCCATCCGGGAATCCTATTCCCAATTTAGAAAACTGCATTTTCAATGTTCATTCTTGTAACCAAACCGGACCAAATCTGAAACCAAGATTAGGGAGGGATATACCTGATACGGAATCCACGCAAAAAGCTCCTCCCAACATAGGTGTTCACACCCAAAGAGTACTAAATCCTCCCTCCACTGAAGATGACACAACTTAGGATGAGGTAGGATCAATAGGTAGTTTTTCACCAAGAACTTGTGATTCTTCAGCAAGAATTGAATGGGGTAGTGAGCACAGCTTCAAAATTGTTTCTTCTACCAAGAAACAATATCAAGATCAAATCTTGATCAGATCCAAGAACTGGAGATCGAACAGGGTAGGGCAACAAGAGCAGGAGGAAAAAGAACTGAAGGCAAGATCAGTATAACTGAATTGTCTTCTCTCTATGTTGTGTCTGGGTGTCCTTTTTAGGTCTGCCCTGCTCTCTATTTATATCCTTAAAGAGACAACCTCCTAATCTGATTAGGAGTTTCTTGATCTAAATCTTTATTTGGATCTGGACTCTTTAAGTGATAAGGATAATCCCTTATCTTATCTGCAGTTCAAAATCAACTTATTCCTAATCAAATTAGGAGTTTCCTGATCCAAATCTTTATTTGGATCTAGACTCTTTAAGTGGATAAGAGTTATCCTTTTATCCTTATCTGCTGATTCAAACCCAAATATGCCCCTATTTAATTAATCTAATTAACCCAATTCGAAATGGGCTTTTAGGCCCATTAAATTTTCAGCCTCACTTCCTTTTAACGATGGCTAGCTTGGCTCTCTTTGTATGGCGTGGGACCCTAACATTGATTTGCACATCAGCCACATGGGTTTAGCCTAGCCTCTGTTACAAGGCCTGGCTGAATTCACTGCTGAATACAATGAACTCCTGAATCCATCACCATGGGCTATTAATGGGCCCAACATTTACACTAAATGGTCATTGGGTCCAGCCATCTTATGAAGGCCCAAGGACTGTGGGCAGATGCAAGATTAGCCCATCAAGTATAACCCTTAATGGTCTTACACTAAACCTCTCAGCCCTTAATGATCAAACACTGCCCAACAAGAGAGGACCTCTCCCTCGGCTGTAAGGTACAGTGCTGCACTCTCTACTCACATGGATCCCGGGAATTAAAACCTTTTGCAAACATTTTGAAACCATAATATATATAAGTATATCTCTATATAAATATATTTTGCAAAACCAAATTTCAAACACATTTGAAATCCACTGCTGGCAGTTTAGGTTTCCATAAGAGAATGCATTTTCCCGAACATTCACTTTGTCCGACAAAGGGGTTGATCCTATTACTATGATCACCCACTCAGATGAATTCTCGGACTGTCCCAACATACCTAGGTTTTGACCCCCTCTAAGGATCTCACTGATTGGCACATCAAAGACAACCCAATCTGACACCTAGTGCAGTATCATAATCGAGTCTAGGGGTCAGGTGTAACATTCCAGTTTTTCCCATCTATCTCCAAGGTCCAAGGCAATACTGCAATTTTGGTCCCATTCAGGGTTTCAAGAAAACCCACACTGCATGTACCTCAGGTCTCACCCTGGCGGCTGAGACAAGCCACCCCAACCAACTTGGCGACACATCAGTGTCATCCTTGGCAGGATAAATCTCCCCAGATCTATCCAATGGCTGTGAAGATTCTAAACTAACACGAGTCTCATATGTGTCCAGTTTAAGGGTATTACACAAAAACGTACCACAATAACATGAATCAAATATGTACTTTATTCATTTAGAATAAATGTCATAATGTACATCATGTCGATTGGAGCTAAGGGCATGCACTGTCTAACAGATAATTGGTCTAAAATCTTTGGGGTGAATATCTCCACTGTTTTTAGGAACCAAGGCGATAAAAGTGTTATTTAAACCTGGATTTATTACTCTCCTCTCAAAAAATTTATTGAAAACCTCCAAAAGATCATTTTTTATTATGTCCGAACAATCCTGGTAGAATGCCATGGTAAAGCCATATGGCCCTAGTGCTTTGGACCTATCCATTGAAGATTTATGGTGCCTATTACCCTCACAAGTGAGGATGTGGTAGCACTTTTCTTTGAAAGATATTTAATTAAGTTCTTTGAATACTTGCCATGATACTTTATAATTGAACTCAGGAAAAAAGTCTTAAAGTTTGCAACCATATGGGATTCTCTATAGAAATTCTGTTTCATGATTCCACTTATAAAGGGTGATATCCATTGTTAAATTATAAGCTCTCAAATTCTTTTCTTTTTGGTCTACCATTACCTCTTCTTGAGTCTTGACTATTTAACTTGCATTATAACTTATTATAATTGTTTTAACAAGTTGGCTTCTATGCATATATACAAACCATCTTAGTCCAATTTCCTTCATTTTATCACCCATGGAGCTATTCTTAGGTTCCCATGGATATTCTCATTTCTGATCCTCCTTTTTCATGAAACAAAGTAACGCATCACTTTTTAACTGCCTGCACATAGCTTCATTAAGTACCATCAAATTTATCACTACTTATTTGATGAATTCTTGTAGGATGCACTCAACAAGAGATAATTATTTGGGATAAGACAGATCAGTAAAACAATAGTAGCCATAAACACTATTCTTAATAAAAAGAGCAAAACATAATGTGTTTGTGCTGCTATATTAAAAAGCATCTTCTATGACTTAGGTGGTGAGTTATTTCAAGGGGACAAAATAGTACATTATTGTACCATAGTAGTGGCTATCATGGCCAATTCACCTTATAAAAAAGTTTTCCTTTTAATCTGATTATTACATGTTCTTCACACAACACTTTTGATGCATCTATCCATTTCATCCATTGCACTCTAATTCCATTAGTGACGTCCTCTTAATATCTCTCTTGCAATGGATTATTGAGCCTAGGTAATAGAAGTGGTCACTTTGAGGTATCTTTTGCCCTCCAACCCTAATTGTTCTCCAATTCTCATTCATGTTGTTTCTAAATTTTAATCACATATATTTTATCCGAGTCCTAGATATCTTAAAACATTTTGACTCTAGATCGTAATTCCAGTTTTGCATTTTATCCTACTTATTCCTACCCTATGCTAGTCAGATCATCCATGATTATTTGGAACCCCTTTCCTTGAAATATTTCCTCTTGATTATTTCCCTTAACTATGTTATTAACTTTTATTTCCTCCTTTTTTGTATATTATTGTTGTATAACAATTATACTTACATTTGTCATCACCTACAGGCAATTGATATAAAACTTCTTGGGTGTCTTAGCAGAGATGACTTGAAGAAAATTTGTGGTGATAACTATCCTGAATGGATATCTTTCCCTGTCTATGAACAGGTAAGTTATTTCTTATTTTATCTTCTTGTTTACTCTTCTACTGAATTTGGTGGACAGAATAATTATTTTTGGTCCTTAGTAGGAATAAGAGATATCTATTGCATTTCTTTTTGTTCTTGTCTTTATAATTCATGGTCATATTTTTGGGACTTAAATGGTTAAAACATAGTGTTAGAATGCTCGAGTCAGGGGTATTTTGGTCATTCTGGTGTATCTTATTGAAAGTGAAATGTCTATTGTATCTGAGTTTAAGTTRYGYKTCYCATYTTCTAYGAGGGACAAAATTGTCTTTCTTGTAACTCAAGTTTTCATGAATAAAAGTCAAGTGGGTCGGCTAGGAGAGGTACTTTTGTACATCCTCTCTTCTAGTCTGGCC